GACGCGTCCCACTCTCGTCCCTCCACCCAAATATAAATCGTACGCGTGCACGCGTGCCACTCGCGACAAATACGAGAAGGAATCCCTTGTGAGTTCTCTCGCTCGAAAGACTATCGCGTTCTGCTTGATTTCGAACACGATCTCTCCTCGATTACAACGATTCGTTCGATGACCTGTCATTTATAACAGAGGTGGTATCGCGAGGAACATTACGGCGGGAGTACACAGATGTTTTAGAGTTCAGTGTTGCATATTTTTAAACCCTTTCATTACTACAATATCTATACTGAGATAACGTGAGAGACTTCGTCACAGGGGAACGTAATATTTGATGCTTCGCCGCGGAGATTATTGACTTCTAGTTCAAGTTGGACTATGAATAATAAAATGAAATAATTAATTCAGTACGTAAATTGATCTTATACAGGTATACTCTGTGCTCCGTATTTTAATTGGAAATAATTTCGTCAGCATCAAATGCCGCTGCAAAGTAGAAATAAAAGTATAATTTAATATCGAAAAATAAGTAAAAGAATAGCAAAAATTTGCGAATGCACAATCTGTTTCATTCCATCAATCTTTGCGCTTCTATTCATATCGCGAACACGTACTCTCCAATTTCTGTACAGATTTCCGATTTTTACCAATCGCGTCGCTACTCGCCAATACAAACCGAACGATACAATGCACCGCATTGCCAGTCAAGAAGAAATTGGCGTAGCGCGAGCCGCGTGTGTCGAGCAGCGGCATCAGGGTGGATTTAATTTCATAAACCGCAACTGTTGCCACTATTCGGATTCGAAAGAGGGGGCGCGCGACTAACTGTTACGAGCTCGACCTTCTGCTCTTAATCGAGCACTCTCTTCTTTCCCTTCCCTCTCGCTGCCTCGAGATTTCTCCACCGACGTTTCTTCGTCATCCGTCTCTTTTTCTTTTTCACATTCGTAGTGATCCGCCGATCGGTCGATCGTGGACAATCGACGTGAGATGTGGACAACGGCCGATCGATCGAACGGCGAGTGAAAAAATTACGACCGAAGGAAATTCGAAAGCAAGCGAACACGTGGACACATTCGTCGTCCCTCTCCTCGGCTCTATCCCGGTGGGTTCGGTAATTTCGATGGGCGGCCATATTAACGATATTCCGATGATACGTTGGCTCGTCGAGACGTCGTCGGAGACAGAGGGCGGCGCGCGAGGGGAGGAAAGGGGGGAGTGGTGGTTCGAGCCGCGGATGTCTCCGGCATTGTATGCAGATGAAGAAGGCAGGGCGACAATGACTCGGGATGTCAGGGCCGAGGACCCGTTCGTTTTCAAATCGAAAAGAAACTCATCCGGCAGGAAAGGTGGCCCTCCTTTGGCTCGTGCTTGCCACCACCTCGGTGCCCTTCCTCACCTCAGTTCCTCCTACCCGAACCAGACACGCTCTTATGCACTACGTATCCATATATTAACATGTCATCATCGCGGGGAAACCGAGCCGATCGAGTCACAGCCTTCCTTCCTTCCTTCCTTCCTTCCTTCTTTCTTGTTCTTTTTTTTTTTTTTTATTTCGTTTTTGGGGGCAAATGCGACCAGCGACACCCTCTGCGAGGGAACAAAACTCCTTTCGAGTACTAAAACTTCAATAGATCTAGGAATAGCGTTTTTCCTTCGCTGTATGATAAATTTTGGAAAATTGAAGTTGAAACATCTCGACGTAAGGTTAACATGTACGTAGGTTAGTACTTGTTTTTATATAGAGAACATCGAGTTGTATATCGATTAAGGTGGAGGTGATGTTGAAATGTTCAGCTACAAAAATGTTATCGCTCCCCTCTCTACTTACTCTTGACATATTACATCGAATTAAATGAAATTCGATATGACCAGAGAATGATATTTATTCGTTTCATTTTAACGTCAACAAGTCACTATGTACCAAGGGATTAACAAACTTCTTTCACATCTCCAAAAAACAACAAAGATATTTAAAGCGGTGATTGCTGATCCTCTATACGTATAACGTATGTCGTTTAATGCCCTCGTATCATACGCAGCTTCTAACTCTGAGTCAAGATTTCGCGTAGGCGTGTCGACATGTTTCAAGATTTTCCCCCGAAAAATTCGGACGGAAACTCGACACGGAGGAGGAGATCGGGAAAGTCGCAGAAGAGAAACCATCGGGAAAGCATCGGACGAGAGAGAGACGTTGGGTATCGGCGCGCAAGGGGAATTCGAAGCAACGGGGAAAAGCCGGTCGATATGACTCGGGGCAGAGGGGTTGCCTGGCAGATACACGTAGACGAAACGCGTACGCGAAGGTAGCGGACGCGGGTCGACGACGACGACGACGACGACGACGACGACGACGACGACGACGACGGCGGCGGCAGCGGCGAGCGAAAAGGTAGAGTGAGACTCGGGACAGGGGCGCGTCGGTGTTGGTGTAGGAAGAGCTGGATTGGTAAACCGGTCACGTAGTGCTCGGCGATGAATGGACCCGGCGAGTCGAGGCCAGAGCCGGGAATTGGCTACTGGGCATACCTCGACCACCTACCCCACTGCGTCAGCTTTAGCCACCCCACGGCAACGTAAAATTACAAAGAGAGAGGTGCTCAAACTCGGCGTCCATCGTCACCCGAAATTGCCTCGTGTCGTTGCCTTTAACCGTTTCATCGTCTTGGAATTTCACCGAGTTTGCACTTTTCATCCCTCTCTTTCTCTCTTTCTTTCTCTCTCTCTCTCTCTTTTGTGAAAAGAGAAGTTTGCGTTTTTTTTTCCCGAGAATTGTAGTAACTTCGAGGTTTAGGTTTCGAATGTTACGGGAAACTGAGAAAAAGTGAAGATTTCTTCCCTAGGCGCCGTGCAACTTTTATATCGGTTGTTTTTTCGTAAAACACACGTTTTCTCGATGTCAAAATACATAATTTATCCTGTGTATAGAAAAAATTTAAATATATGAAAATACATTTTTATAAATGTGTCGGATCTTGCCTATCGGAATGTTGAAAATTAATAAAAAATTTCAGACCAAACTATGAATAACTACAAAATAATTCATAGAGCTTCATAAAGCTCTCAATGGATATACGCTTTCTCAACGATTGTTAAATATTGTCCTCCATACCTATTTTCTTTAATAAAACATCAAAATGTAAGAAAAAAAACTAATTTCAAATTAAATTTAAGTTCAAACACGATTTTTTTTTACGTTCTAAAAATTATTTCTTTCAGAAGCATTTTCAGAAGAGACAGAAATTTCTTTCGAAAGAATTTTGTTAAAAAGATGTACAATAAAAAAAATTATGAATTTATTTATAGTAGAAAGTGATTTTTGAATCACTGATCCGCGATACAGTAATACGGTCATTGATCAATTTGTACAGATAAATAACAACGAAGCACCGATCAATATATATATATATCAAAATATAACTATGGAAAATGGATTTGCACAACGGACTTGTGCACCAGGCTTCTTCAATAACTCACGAGAAAGAGGGTACACACGCACGCGCCGCTTTTGTTCAAAATGACGACCGACGAAAGGATAACACGGACGTCGCGCGTACGTACGTGCAATCAGGATTCCATTTGCGAAATCCTCGAGGGTCTCTGCTCGTTGTCAGACGGCCGAAACGATCCTTGGACGAGACGCACCCCCTTATGCAATCCGAATCGAGCCTCTGATCTGCCATAAAGTCATTTCGTAACCCATCCCGAGGGTTAAGTACCCCCGAGTCCCAAGCCCCGAGTTAAGCGCGAACCCGTCCCGATCCGCCAAGTTTCGCGACACGATCGTTCCTCGTCGCATCGTTTCGACTTTGATTTCGATCTAAAACGCCAGTTTTCGAAGCGACGAATCGAACACAAATTTACTAGGGAAGCTACTGGAAAACTGTGCTTGCGCATAATTAAAAAAAAAAAATTCAAGTACCGTTTAAGGAGATGAATCCCTATAGGATTGTGTTCAAAAGAATTCTTTTCGCTCAAAATTAATTTAAAATTGATTCCTGTCGTTGGAAATAATTGTTGCCATTTCAGCGACAATTAAAATTTTTCAAAATCGGCGTGCTCTGTTCCAAATAATATACTTCTTTTTTGTAAATAAATATTTTTCAAGTATACCAATCTTTTATACATCTGATTCTGTGCAAGGAAGTGAGAACACACCTAGTCATTTTCTAATCTTCGCGTTTGAAACAAAATTGAAAAGAGAAGTTCACGCGTCTCAGAAAATTGTGACTTTTCGTTTAATAATTGCCAATGAAAAAAAAAACCAATTGGAAAAATTTCTCAATTCTTTAAACAACCCTACCACCCTCTATAAATTTTCAAATTCCATCCTCTCGAAAACAAACAAACACACACACATACAAAAAAAAAAAAAACGTTGCTCTTTCTTTTCGACTTATTTCTCCACGTAAATTAAACTCGTTTCAATTCCGAAGGTCAGACTAGCTCTCTCAGGCGACGACTCGACGTGGCTCGATAAATTTGCCGGAACAAAAATTCCGCGAGAGCGAAAGACCAAAGAGTAACGAGCGAGGCGAACAGAAGCAAGGGAAGAAGGCTGACACTTGCGCCCGGGATTAAAAAATAAAAGCTCGTTATAAATCAAACGGCTTGTCAACACCAACAGCGACGACTGCGGCGGGGAAGCGTATCGCGCGCGCGTTTCGTTCGCGAAAACCCTTTCGTTAATTGCGCATCGCAGATGCCGACTCTGCCCGTTGCTGCCCGCTCTTTTACGATTCTTTGCCTCGGTTGTCGGCGAACGACCCTAGAAAAAAGGCGAGAGGATCGAGCTTCTTCCTCCGGAAGCTACATAAATGTGCCCCCCCTCTTTTTCTCTCTCTCTCTCTCTCTCTTTCATTCTCTTTCTGTCTCTCTTTTTCTCACTCTCTCTTCGGTCACGTCGATTACGACGTCGACGTCGGCATCCTCGTCATCTCGCAGCTCGCAGACACTCGCACACTCGCAACCTAGGTAGAGATAAACGAACATGAAATAGACAGTTTACATAAAATAATGTATTTATTGTAATACCCCACTTCGCTACAGCGATTAACATTGATTTTAACACAACTTATACCGTAAATTCTATTGTAATTATGCAATTTTCCACACTGACACGATGTCTGGCTGCGACAGGGCTCTGGAACGATCGCTTGCAGCAGGACGATACGAGACAAATCTGTAAGCTGCAACATCACAAGCAAAACCCACTTAATGTCATACGTTCGCCAACAAATTGTCCAAAATCCGGATTTGGACGTACCGATACGACCGGGCCGGGATGTGCAATGTAGCGTGTAGTTTAACAAGGTTAACACCTTCCCCACGCGTCTATCATTGCCTTTGAAAATGCACCTGTCCTTCTAACGTAACGACTTTTTCTCTTGTTTACCCTCGCTTTAGTTATTCTTTTCCTCTTTTTAAGTAATCGAGAATTAGGTCTATTATAAGTATATTACAGGTCTATATACATGTATTGTAGCTTTATTATAAGTTCATGCTATCGGGTATATGTGTATAACATGAGATAAAATACGAGATCCGAAATTTATAATTCTCAAGTAAAAACACTCTCATTAAAGTTTTGCGCAAGTTTCAGGAGTAAGATACAGGAGACCCAGTTTTATCAAAATAAAATAAAAATATAAGAATTGTCTTTGTTATTTCTCGCTTTATTATTTCCTGTATAGTCGACGATAATGTATCGTTGCTGCGAGGCACTAAGGGTGCTAGAAGGGTGCTAAATAGTTAAACAAAATCAAACAGAGTGTTGAAAGACAATTAATTCATCTCTCCCGTCTAAGCTTTAAAATTTCTGTTCATTTTTATTTTAATTATTCAATTAAATTAAATCAAACTCTACTTCAATTACTAATTATTAAATAAAACCGATAGCGACTATAACGTCGTAAATCGCATCGTAATTTCTTTCATCGTCGCGATCAAGGAATAGGGAGCGTGTAATAGGGCGAATAAAATTCCGCGTAGGGCGCAGAATCGACCAGCTACGAGTTTGAGATCGCCTTCCGGGGGTCCCGGAACGGTGCCCGGGTATCTTTAAGCAGAGATCTCTTCTTTCTTCTCGGCGAAAGCCAGGCGAGGAGCAAAAGGGACGGGGAGGAGAGGCCAAGGAAACGTTATTAATTGGTTACACGATAAAACAGTGTTAGTCCCCATTCGCTGTCCTTCGCCGGACCCCCCCTGGCTACTTCTTAAGATATGGAGCCACGCGACTGCGAGGCAAGGATACGCACACGCGTGTCCACGTATCCGCGCGCCTCCAAGTCGCGTACATGCGTATATAAGTATCTCCGTATCTCGAGTGTAACTATCCCGCGCGCGAGAAGGGGAAAGGGGATGAAGAACGATCGGCCAGTTTCAATATCGGTGTCGCGCGTATCTCGTAGTCGAATTGAAAATTTTCTTTTCTCCTCGTGCCCTCGTAATTAATTAGTCTTCGAAGCTGCAATGAGTAAAGAACTTCGCGCGAATGTATGTATTGTTCAAACTCCTCTTTACGAAACCGTAATTTTTCACGTTATCGTGAATACTTGCGAAACTCGTCAGTTTATATTAATATTTGATCATATTGGACGAAGTGTGTCACTTTTTTTTTTTAATTTTCGAAATTTTTTTCATAACAATATACGTTACAATTCTTTATTTAAAATTGTGCGTTATTATTCAGGATAATACGAAATGTCTTTACAGAGAGACGTTTTCATTATCGTACGACCTTTTTTTTTTCCCCCCAGGAAAAAATTGTTTTCAGAAATAAAAGTTAAATCACGAAAATCTTAAATCTTGAAAAGCTACCGATAGAAAAAAAAAAAAGCCGTTTGACGTAACACGTTCGTTCGCTTACAGATCTATCAAGATCTACAAGATGTTCAAAACTTTCGAGACCCGAGACTAACGAAGACATTCAAGAGCTTTGAGACGACACATCGAGGTGCTTCGTAATTCCGTCACTGACAATGAAACATCCCATCCACTTGATGCAACATGATCGATCTCGAATTGAGAGAAATAAACGCGACACTTGTCGCGCCGCTGTGCCTTCCGCGAAATTCCTTCGGCGCGCGGGAGAATATTTTAATTTATAGGTCACTAATTAAGTGGTAGAGCGGAGTCGGCGCGCGAGGTAATTAAATTTGGCGTAGCATGGCCGTGAGAGGCGGAAAGAAACGCGAAAATACGAAAGTGATTCCACCCCCTGTCCACTTCTCTCTCTTTCTCTTCCTCTCTCTTTCGTTTTCCGTCCGCGTGGTTGGCGCGCGTTCGTTTTTTGCTCGTTTCTTGCTTACAACGCGAATGCCTCGAACTCGCTTCCTCCTCTCGGCTCTCTCTCTTCTCTTCTCTCCGCCGATTCACCGGGGGTTCTTCTCTCGGTCCTCCTCGATTTCTCTACTACCTGGCGAGAAATCGAGCGGGCTCCTTTGCGTCGCTCGTTACACAGACTTCGGTGTCGATGGGGTACATATATCGCGTGTGTTTCGCGTTTCATACCCCTATCGTTTTGCTCTCCTCTCTCTTCTCTAGATACGCGTCGCAGGTTTCTCCCTCTCTCGTCCATCAGCCTCTCTCTCCTACTCGTTTTCTTTTCTTCTCTCTTTTTTCTTTTTTTTCTTTTTTGCAATCGTTGTGCGTGCATGTCGGCCGTTGTTGCCTTCGACGACGACGTCGTCGTCGTTGTTGTCGTTGTCGTTGTTGTTGCTGTTGTCCCCTTCCATGGACAAGGGGAGCGAGCGTATGAGCGCCTATAGGCCATAAGGGCTAACAAGGCGATTACTCATGCCTCCCATAAGAAGAAGTTACAAGCGGGTTCGAAGGTTTATTGCGGCAAATGGCGAAATTTGTACCTTGCTAACGATCGAACCGTCTTTTTTGCTCCTCCGGATCTTGTACCCCCTCCCCCTCCCACTTTCTTTCGCTGCCGACCTGTCCTCTCTCGGCATACCCACACCCCCGTGTGTCCCTGGGTCCCGGACCCGACGACTAACACGGGGCCTCGCTCTAGTCGACTCGATGGTAATAATTAACGAATGGCAACAAGTTGATCCACGATCTCGCGACTGCCGATTACCCTTCTCGCTCTTCCAATCGTAAATTCCCCCCGCGGGCTTCAAGAACGCTTCTTTCCCTACCGTTCTCAACCTTTTTTCGTTACAACAACCATCCCCTCTGTGTATTCCTGCGCAAGGACCTTTCGTTCCTATCTCTCTACCTCGAGTCACAGAAATATTTCTCTATGCTTTAAATATATGTTTCGAATCAACTGATGGCGATGAATGGCCATTCCACCGAGAGTGAATAAGACCAAGACAATTTGAAGCGTACGTAAAATTCGAGATATTCGCAGAACATGCGTGAAACTAAGAAACAGGGAAAATTTAAAATAGAATTCAAAAATGGACCGTGTAAAGAAAATTTATAACTGTCTACGTGATATTAGTACATATGCGCACATATATATACGAAAATAATTTTCATATCAAAATTATTATCGATCGTCTATTCGTCGTTCTTGCGAATTCTGGAATTATCACTTCATCTTTTAAACTCCTCCTTTCGTTCGCCACTGTACAGTCGCCTTTTTCTGTAATTATCGTTACAAATTGCTTCTTAAATCACCTTTCCTCGTGGATTCGAATGGTCCCAGTATCTACCGTCAATTACGACGAGCAGATAACGTTAATCAACATCCTCGTTAACACAAATTTTGAAACTCGCACCGTAAGAAAACAGTTAAACTTTGAAAATTGAAATCTTTCTCTAAAAACCAATGTTGCACCCCGGGGAATGAAAAAAAAAAAAAAAAAAAAAAAAAAAAAAAAAAAGAATGACTGCGTCTTACCTCGAATCCGAGGAGAACGAGGGCGGTCCGAGGGGTCCGGTGGATCGCGCGTCGCGATCGGCGGACCGCTCGTTCTGGACGTCCCAAGTGCCGCGAGGAGCGTCGAAAATCGGATCCCGGGGGACGGCCGCGATGATGCTCGGTCCACAAGCCAGGGATCCACGCGGGACGATCGACCGTCGACGATCCACGAGGGCAGGAAACTGCAATTTGGTAAAGTGGTGCCTTAGAAAGGTCGAAGTCGCGGGGGCCCTACTCGGCACGTCTTCTTCTTCCCTCTCCCCCCTCCCCTTCACTCTCTCCCTCTTTTTCTCTGTCTCTCGACTGGCCCCACGGGCAGCCCAAGCTCTAATTAGATTTTAAGTGAGAAATTGAGCCTGCCGGCAATTTTAAGGAAGCCGAACGCGCCGCCTTGATTAATATCATTATGCGTGTTCGCTCGTTACGTAGTTTCGGGACCCCGGTAGGAATTCGCGGATCCTCAGAGGACCGGTCGCAAAAATTTCCAGCCGAGGGACCAACCACCACCAACCGCCGCCGCCGCCGCCGCCGCTCGTCGTGTCTCCTCGATGATACGATACGAATTAACGATCCAGTTGCGCGCATTTTTTTCCATTAATTTATTCGCCAGCCAAGAGAGCCAGCGGAGAGCTCATCTCAGGGTCGCGCGCGGCCGCGTGATTATATTTTTCTCGAGATACACGGGCCGATAGTCAGACACAGCGGTGTTTAATGCCGCGCTAACGACGTTTCTTGCCGTGACTAATGACTTCGATCGCGCTATCGAACGAGCAACGCGCTCCTTCCGCGTGGAATTACGGAAAAAGTAATGCGACTGGCGCGTATAATTCCAATCCCCGCGTTATACTAGATCTCCGGTTTTCCTCTGCACGTTGCACACCACCTTGACTTGGTCAACCGTTTTGGTCACAGTTTCTCCCACCAGCTGCCAGCCAGACAGCCAGCTAGCGCGCAATTAACGTAATCCGATCGATTACACGTTTGGTCTCGCGTGGTTAGATAATAGCCACGATCGGAATTATTAGGACATTATTAGCGACGCTAAGTGGTCGACCCGATAATGAACGCTCGCCTCCATTAATCTGCATTCGTGTTGCGAGGGAAAGACGTTGCGCTGTGAATGTGTGTGTATATTATATATATATATATATATATATATATATATATATATATATATATGCGAGCTGTTTCATTTTACATATTGATTATACCAGAACTTTCGATAATTGCGTCGGGGGAAAAAAAAAGGAAAAAAGGGAAAAAAAATGTCAAGAGCATTATGCAAACAATATGAAGCGTTATGCAAACAGGAACGTAAATAAACGTATTGATCTCTTTCAAGTTCGTTAACGATCGACTCGGGGCAATTTGGTTTTATTACTGATATTACCGATGTTAATTGGCCGATTATTAAGCTTCCTTATTGTACGTGTCAAATGAGTAGAACTCGCGCATTTGAATGAATTCACCTTTGGACAATGACGAAGGGCTTGCTCTTCGTCTAATCTAATCCTCTGCTTTTAAATTTGTGCTAATGGTAGATGTAAAGAGGTACAATAGATTCCATGCTAAATTAATATTATTTAGCTATCTGCCACTCTGACACGATTGTCGCGATATATTATTATTCAAAGATGAGCAAGCACTGATGAAAAATCGGCAGTTTTGTTAATAATATATTAGAACGGCGCTTCGAATATAGTTACTGATAATAATAGTAACATAAATTATAATTTAAATTAGCAGAATAATTATGCTCTGTGCGCAGAGTTGTTGGCTCATGGTTTGCGGTGGACACTGACTTGATGTAATGACTTCACGAGGTTCAAGTACATGTACATGTAACAGAAGAGAAATGAACGTTCGCTATCGTTGAAGAAATAGTATTTTTCTTTTCCTCCAATTATTATATGCTAAATTATTTTAAAAAGCTAAAAACGGTCAACGAAAGAAACGTCCAATATGAAAATTTACTTTAAAATACAATCATCATCGTGTTCTTTGTTTCTATCTCTTCTAATTTTGGATATTATCGTTGTTATTATTAGACTGCGGACATTCGCGCAATTTTGTATTTCCATAAAGGTAATTAAAACCGTAGAATCTGAATGGGAAATTATATATTTTTGCCCGCGTTGCGTGCGCATTTCCACCTCCAAATTCATGCATAAAAACCCGCAGTCTAATTATTATGCAATACATTATTTGTAATTTTCCTGCAACCGCATGAAATTATCCAAAGTATTCCGTACGCGTATAAAAATCGTCCAGAGGCTCGATAAACTATAAGGGAAACGAAACTACATTTCACGGCGTCGATCCATGCGCGATGCATGGTTTCTTTTCTTCCGAGAGCGTAAACGGAGAACCGCGTTCTCCAATTATTCCAAAGTTGGAAAATCAGCTCTCCGCAATTCGCTCGAGTCTCTCGCTGGTATTTCCGTTACCAGCCACGAGAGCTATTAATCTTCGCGGCCGAGGGAAACGCGACGTTATTAATTTAAATCGCCGCGACGAAGAACCCGTCGTAAATAAAGCCCTCTCCACCACCACGAGAGGATGAAAAATCTTCTCTCCTAGAACCGAGAGCGATTGAAGAAGCACGCCGATTCTACGCTCTTACGTGGCAAAGTATCGTTGATAGGTCGACGTTAGGCTTACAGTCAATGACGTACATTGCATGAAAAAGCGTTTCAACCTTTAAATACATAGGATCATAGATGGCTATGGTAATTTTAGATTCAGAGTATTTAACTCTGTTTGGTACTTCAACTCTATTTACTACAGTTTTCCGTAATTAAAATTACTTGAACTGTTATATTTTTTTCTAATATTACATTTTAATCTTCTACAAAATTTCCATAAAATTTCTAATGTTTCTAATGTTAAAAAAATATCTCAAATTTGAAGAAATTACGAGAAATATCTTATCAGTGTAAAGTGACGCGTAAAGCGTCCTTCTCTCGTCGCCGTTTCAACCCTCAAATATCATCGGGTTACAGATGGCTATGGTAATTTTAGATTTAGAGTATTTTACTCTATTTGATATTTTACATGAGTAACAAAATTCGTTGTTACATTTTTCTAACGTTAAAGAATATCTCAAATTCGAAGAAAATACGAAAAATATCCCATCAGTATATGTGCACGAATTCTTCGTTCAATTTTGTGCTAAACATCTTCTTAAAATGTCACAAAATCATTTTAAATGAAACAGAGTGGAATGTGAAACCCCTAAACTGCAACGAGAATGAATGAAAAATTCCAAAGTTAAGTGTTTTGAAACTGTCGTCATCTTCCATCTCGAACGACGTCAATTAACCCTTAAAAATTCACGTACTTTTCTTTCAATTGAAACGAAACGAAAAATTCCAAAACTGAACAAACGTTATCGCACAGCTTTACGACCAGGAACTAAGTCCAATAAACTAGGCTCACTCTTCTACGAAGCGACTTTCCGCGAGCTTCAGTTGTCAATTTGACCTTGCGATCAAACACGACCCTCGCGCCACAGCAGACGCAACCCTTCAACGTATATATACGCGTCTGCGTGACGTTCTCGAGCTGCCGTTGGAGACAGAACGGCAAGTTGACACGATGCAAAGCGACGGTTGGGACACGACTTGCCCGCACCAGGCACAAACGGTCATCCTGGACCGTTTCAGGAGGACGAACTCGATTCGAAAACTGGATCTCTCTGGACGCGCGGACTGGAGAGGAGCCAAACCGGCGCGCGATTCCCTTCCGGAGGGAAGCATAATGGCCAGAGACTAGAAACTAGAACGACGAAACGAAACTAGTAAAACGAAGCGGCGAGGAGTGAAGAGAGAGGGTAAATGTATACACGACGACGCGGGAAGCAAAGCCGCGATAAAGCAGCACACAGCGAGCGAGCAGCCACTAACAGGCAGGGGGCCGTCCGGTCGCGAAATCTCGAATCGATAACAAGACAAATTACGCGGGTACTGCTATAATTAAAGTTGCCGTGGATGCGTCGGCAGACAGCGGACCGGCGATATCTTGGATCGCGCAGAATCCCACGAGTCGAGGACTCGCAGATCTCGCGTCCGCGTCTCGTCGTCGCGATTGCCAGACAAGCGACCACGAGGGTCGTTCTCTCTTTCTCTCTCTCTATCTCTATCTCTATCTCTATCTTACCGGGACTTCCCCGCGAACGAATGGATAGTAAGCGACGGTGGTATCGGTGTTGCGAGGCTGGTATCAAGTCATCAGCAGGAAGAGAGAAAGAGAGAGGACGTTCGCGTTCTCGTCCGATGATAAATGACACGTTGAAACGTGGTAGGTAGGTAGTAGCACCGAGGCCGATACGGCGCGAAACTTCCTCCCCGCTGGGGTAACAGCCAGTCCCGGGGAAGAAACGTGCAAAGAAACAGAGACGCGGCGAAGAGCGGGATCGCGCGATAGGGAAAAAAAAAAGCACGAGCGAAACATCGAGAACTGGTCAAAGAGCGGCCACGATCTATCAGAGAGATCGCGGACGGGCTTCTTTCTGCGTCGCGTATGTACACACGTATGTACGTATTAAAAAGTTGAAGGCAAACGTCGCGACAACGTCTGCGATGGCCGATTCGCGAGAAGTATGTAGGTTAAGACTTTTATCACGGATGATGCTAAAAAGTGGATTTAATTCGTTGAAGATACGTATCTGACAGAATGCGCGTGATTCTTTTCGTTTAGACTGTGACTCGTGCTTCTAACGCTGCGAGGGAAGATTCGACATATAAATTATCCAAACCTGAGAGTTTCAATTTAAGGGACAGGGGAGCGCCGCGAAACTTCCTCCCCGCTGGGGTGACACAGCCAGCAGCTCGAGTAAACTTGTGGAGAAAAAGAAAACACGAGAGCGAACGAGAACTGGCCAAAGAGCGGTCCACGCTCTGGTCTTGTGTGCTTGGCAGTAGCGGAGCCGGATGACCAACGACAGCAGCAACAAGT